TTGCTATTAAGGACTGTTCATCTATGTAATAATACAAGAGTTGCACCGGTTGTCTAGCAATTTGGCATTACTCCTTTCCTTTCCTTGAACATCTTTACCAATGTCTTTGCCACCTTTTTGACAGTGTTGAGGAAGTGCTTGTATATTTTGGCTTTGCAGGAATTCTTGTGGTTTTCGTAGAACTGAAGAAAGTTTTCGACTCCAAAGCACATTTTGTCGTTTGAGGCCAAATCTTTAGCCATTTGTGAGGCACAATCACAGTGTATCGTAGCTTCGCAGTCTGCGGTCATTCCGCGCTTCTAAAAAATTGATGAATGGACGACTGGCAACAGCTTTTAGTATAATTTTAGACTTGAATATTGAGTTTTTCGCGATGTGATTGGTCGAACGACCAGTGATCATGAGACGATAGACACTGCTCGAGCGATGATTATGAGGTTTTTCAAAGTTTGCCAAAGTGGAAGTACTTATACTAAACCGTTGTTTTTATCCTGCATTTCGACTTTTCTCTGATATTCGAGTCTAAAATTACACTAAAACAATTATCTCCCTGAGCCTCAGTGATTATGGTCAATATTTACCTCGCCGCTCGAAGGCTCGGTAAACTGGGAACTTGTTCTATACACTAGCATTATTGTACACAAGAACATTGCTTGGGTTGCCTATGTGCCTTCCAGGTATTTTGTCTTTCAGTCATGTGATTTCTGATGATGCTGCGTCTGGCACAACCTTCGAAATCGTTAATTCGAGTTTTGGTCACGAAAGAGTCGACTATGGAACAGAAGAAACCCTTTGTGAGTATGACTGACTACATTTGGTTATAACGAGGAATATATTTTACGGCTATTAATATTAGACCTATGACCATACCATAAAACTGTTTTCATACAAGACTTACCAGACGCGTTTGAAGTTAGGTATGTTTGCCGTTTCCTGCCCTGTGTAAATTTCAGTACAGGGGAACGATCGGACGAATACATAACAAATTTAATGAACAAAGATTTTTTTGACATTCTGGTATTTCGCAAACATCACCAGAACCTATATTTTTGCGATGCTGGAAATCACTGGATGATTCAAAATCATAACGAACATACGCCCAGCACCTATAAATTTCTAGTTGTTTTTCTCCTGTGCTTTAAGGGTTTTTTCCGGGTTCTCCCGTTTTCCTCCCTCCAGAGRAATCAACTCCTAAATTCCAATTTTATCATGGAACAAGGACGTTTTTTTTAACTTCTCGTTTTGTGTGATTGGCCATTAAGGATTGTCTACAGATATTTTAAAATTTCAAGTTGAACGAGGAAGAAAGTAACGAAGTATTTACAAATATTGGAGAGTTTTAGATTGACTTTTTATCTCCCCGCAAACGGCAAACGTGACCACGTTTTAATCGTTTTCCTGCATTTTACCTTATCTTTTGCAAATGTTCTCACCACAAGCAAATATTCTTTTGTTTTTATTCTACTACTAGGACTTTTTTGATTCCTTTTTCAGTAATTTTTTATGGTCAACTGACGTTTCACGTTTACCGTATGTAAACGTAAATCTAAGACTCTCTGTATACTTGCATCAGATCTTAGCGGAGCGGAAGCCTTAGCGGAAGACTTCAATTCAAAAAAACAAAAAAGGTGCATACGAAGGTTTCGTTTTTGAAAGCTGTACAAGAAGTCCAGAAGAATCAATCAATAGTTTGATAACTCAACTACGAAGGTATGCGTCAACGTGTCACCGAGTTACGTCAGTTACGTCTTTTCATACTGTTACATTTAGAATACTGACTGAAAAATTAATCCTCGACATATTTTAACAGTTAAACACTCAATCCGACTGAAGTAGGTTCATGGGTTTAATCCTAGCAAGATCAGCACTTAAGCCTGCATGATCCAGACAAAGCCTATCTGCAAACAGCAAACGTTAAGCGTTATAGGTTTTATCAACTTTTTGGCCAAATTCCTTCCCAGACTTTCAGAAGGCTAGATGCTCTGTAAGAGAACTGACTATCAGATATATTTTTCTGGATCCGGAAACATTTTCCTCGTTTAGCTAGGGCCTAAGACATGGGAGAATAAGTTACGATGTGATGCCAGCGAGAAGGGTTTGGAGTAGCACTCCTTCGGAACGGCCAACCTGTCTGTCACCTTTGCGTTTAGTTATTGCATTTGGTTAGGAAAAACAAATTTACTATCGAAACAGACCACGAGCCCCAGTGTATCTTCATGGAATTCCTATTGGTAGCTCCAAGCATATTTCACACAGACACACCACTCATCATTCGCCTGCAAATATCGAAAGTCGGTCATGACTCGCACATATAAAACAATGTGAAATCCTCCCCCCCTTCATTTAATATGCATGTTTGTAAAGCTAGAAAATGTGGATATCAACGTTAACCTCCCAACCCCCTGGGGATTATTGCATATTTTTGCCAGGTCCCTCATAGTCATCTCCCGTACGGCGAGGTTGGTTCTGGGTATTTTTCAACTCGTAGCATTGCTAATCGTCAAGTGGTTAAGACAGCGACCCCTTTGGTTCTGAGAGAACTTGATGCTATGGCCCTAGAAAAACAGTCTGTGGTAACCCTAGTGGATTATGGGACGGCTGATGGTGGAATTTCGATGGATCTTATCTACGCATGCGTCAAAGCAATACGAGAAAAATATGGAGCTGAACTACCGATCAATGTGATCTACGAGGATCAACCCGTCAATGATTTCACGTCTGTGTTCTTGAGAACACAAGGTAAGAGTAAACCACGGGCACCACTAGTCTCCTCACGGTGTTTATGTGCTCTTGGGTATGGAAAATGTAGCGGTTGTGGTTTCGTATCTCACCTATTTGGTCTGGAGTTTCATTCGACTCATTCTCGTTCCCAGATTTTCCACGGTTGTCGTTCCTCCCCATCATAAGCTCTGGGATATCCTACGAATTCTTTCAATTTGATTGGCTTTTAAGGAGAACAATAGATCTACTCTTTGATTGGATAATCGATGTTTTGTCGCTATTTGCAGATTTTATACAAAGCCAAAGGCTTGTCCATGCTTGTCTTGGCTTGTCTTGGAAAGAGTTCGAGCGTCATGCCGTGAGGACGTGGTCGCAATATTCCTTGCTTTCGGTTGTACGGTTTCCCAGAGCCTTTGACGGGGAGGAACGACAATCGAGGAGGATCTGAGAACGAGAATGCATTCGACTCGGCATCTAATGTGCAGTGGATGGGGTTTAATAGTTCTCTGCCTTAATCCAAGAGTTGTTTTTCGGGTTCTTTGTCTGGCCCCCTTCCCTCCTCCACACCCAATTACAATTCGATCTGTGAGTTTGCCCTGAGTTCATTCATGGTTAGAGGAATCGAAATTTTTAAGTATTTCTAAAGATATAAACTAGTTCTACTTTCAGACTAAACAAGATAAATTAAAGCTGGGATAGACCCTTTTTGCTTGGGCCTAATCTTTTCCAATTTCATGCWGCGTGTCATTTGAATTTGGCAGCGGAAATCTTGCTTTAGAAATCTTGCTTAACTAGTTCAATTTAATTTCTAATTAATGACCTAGCCTTGAATCACAGAAGTACCTTGTGATCACTCCCACTCCTTTCAATTCACGACCATGAGCTTGGAAATTTAGGCCTGGGCACGAGATATTATATCAAAATCTATATTTCCAATCCAAGGTTTGATACCTGGTCCTCGCAGTTATCTCCAAGATTTCCCCAATGTGTTCGTCATGGCCAGCGGTACAAATTTCTACGATCAGTGTTTCCCCAATGATAGCGTGACATTGGGGTTCTCTTCTAATTGTGCACATTGGTTGCGTGACAAGCCTTGTG